CACAACTTAAATATTCATCAAAAATCTAATATGTTAACAAATACTGTAATTAGATCCTTTATGTAATATATACCAGCCATCTCTGGTCATGCTCTTCAATTAGGCCTGACGGCATAATTGCCCACTTGTCTCAAAGATTTCGATAGTTCGTAACAAGTTGCAGAGTATCAAAGTCATTCAGATGACAGGACTTGTTAATTAATGGAGTCATTAGAAGAGTCTGCAGAGAGAAGTATGCTCCTGCGTCTACAGTGATCAAACAGTTGGCAGGAAGTCGCCTCACTGGGCCACCCTCCGTCTGCCGTGCGGTTCTAGGGGGATATAAACCATGTGGAGTTGTTAAGTCTGACATCAGTGCAAATTGTGTAAAGCTGAAATCAATTGTGACATAATCGCAGTTGTTATCATCCAGGTTCCCTGCCGAGCCAGCCAAATCTTTGAAACGGATGCTAGTTTTCATGTTTAGCACTCTCTCTTCATCTCTGTTTTTGTTTTCTCTTCAACTGGAATGAAAAGTCAAGAAAGTAGATTGGAAAAACAAAATAACCATTGGGATGAGAACCAGATAAGACGGTCCCCGTTGTGCTTGCTTTTTAGACGCATCTGTGAATTTCCTCTGATTTAACTGAATTAGTCATGATTCAATCAAAGGGAACTATTTCTGACGACTTCAGTCTCTCTCACTCTGTTCTGCAACAGCACCTCCCTCCTCAAGAAAACACAGCACACATCTTTCTTTGTTTACATAACAGGACTTACTAGAATTTGACAGTAATATAGACGTCAATTCAGCCAGACAGCATTCAATTGTTTTGTCATTTAATACTATATTTTCCAAATCACTTTTAAAGACTGTAAAGAATGTTTGGAAATGGAAGTATAACCGATCTCAGCTTGTCGGATAAATGGACAAAAGTGCTTGTTAACATATGCATAAACATTCATTGAGACATTGATTTGAGTGTGACAAATCTGTGTTTAAATCATTCACATAAACCTGTAGCAGAGGAAGGACTCAGGGGGGAATTTGTGGCAGCATCGTGGACACATTTTAATCCGATTCTGCTGCCATGCTTTTTTTTTAAGTATGGTCCGAACAAACAGAAAGATAGGGTTTGGTGGAGGATGGCAGCTTGGTTGTAGTGTTGATTGCAGGGTGGCTCACTGTATTGGTGTGTTGTGATTCACTCTTCCTCTTGCTGGGACAAAAGCTGATTTACTCACACTAGGGTGCTTCCCTGTGTGAACACAAAATGCCAGTTTTGGCTGCTTTCCTGGATTCAACCCAATCACTTCTTGTTATTTCTTTGCAGATAAACATGCCACTTGGATAAGAGATAACCACATGAAAATCTAACTGGCCTGTTTTACTCAAGTCACATATTTAGATTAATCTGTAATGGGCTTTATTGGACATCTAGACCCTTAAATTCAAGGGTTAGTGTTAGTCTGACAGTAATTTTCTTTAAATTTATTGTTCAAGGTGGTGACTTTTATAAAAGCTGTGCATAGATGGTTGTGGCAATGATACTTTAGATGGGAAAATTTTTTGAAACTTCTAGGAGAGAGCTGATTGTATACTGTCAGCATGCTAAAACCGCATCTTAAATTCATCCCATTTACAGATTATTTTAATCAACACTGAACAGAAAAAAAGGAGAAAAAAAATCTTTATGAACTTCTTAGACTTGTGTCGAATTCGGTAATGCGATATATCACGGTAATGAATATGCACGATATTGTTATAGTGGGCACTTCTAAATACCTTGAATAATTATATATTACAAATTATTCCGAATTTTGAATGCATTTTAAGAATACTTTTCCCATCAACTGGTCAAAATGCACAACACCGCTGTATGCTGCGTGAAAGAACTTCTTAACCTCGTATTGATTTCCCTATTTAATTTTTTTAACCTGTACTCAAAACTACACAAATGCAAACTTGATTTTGTTTTTGACATTTTCTTTTTGGCTTTATATTTTTAAATCTATGCGGACAGCAAAAGTCTGCAAAAGTAATATCAGCCAACACAGACTGTATTCTTTTATTATATGCCCTTAAAATGACACCTCTCATAAAATTAGCTTCTCTGTGCAGTCCCTGTTTGATTAATTCGTGGCCTGAGGCGGTGCTTTACTCATTTCTGTTTAATTTTCACCTCCCCTTTTGCGTTCTTCATATTCATTTCTTTTCAGTGCGTATAATAGTTAGGGGTGGGGGTTATTAAATTGCCTGAAAATTTGATATTTAGGGAAACCGACTGTGTGGAAGAAAATGGACTGACTTCTTTATCCCTGATGTGTCATTTTCCATTTCTTTTCCCAGTTTTTTTCTCCTCCCTAGAGGCTGGCCACTCATGGGTACCACACATACACGTTTTTCTGCACTCTTATTTCCAGACTTTAATGGAACATGTGACACATGGGAGGAGGAAGGCGTGTCTTTAATTTATCTGGCAGATGCAGACCTCTTCAACATCTCAGCCCCCATCTCTACCCTCACCTCTCTATACAAAGAGCCCTGAAGGAGATGTCGGCACTCACAAAAACATTAGCACCCCAATTCCTCCCACAAATTCTTTCCTTTTCTTTCAAACCCAAATTATAGGATTATCTGAAGCCCTTTGGCACACATGCTGAAGAGATTTTGTCAGTTTTGCAGGAGTTCATCTCCAAGGCTTCCCCACTTCCCATAAACCCGTTGGCCGCTGAGGGACGACATGCTGTAGGTTTCAATCTGCTCTTCATCCTGCAGGGAATAACCCTGTATTAACACACCGGAGAAGACCAAGCACAGAGAGATCCTGGGATTTATTCCCCATGAGCAGGCCCACAGATTTCTGTAGAATTTAAATGTCCATGCTTTTTTTTAATTAAATATTTTGTTTAATTTTATTATGCTTTCAGCTACTGTAGCTTTTTTTGTTACATTTAACACATTTTATCATGTCACCAGAATTCTCCCCAAATCACTGCTGAAAATGCAATCATCTGGGACGGTCCACACTTTATATGGAACTCTTGTTTGTTGTTACTGTACAAGTGTGTGTCTAGGTTTCACAAAGAGGTTGAAAGTGTGTCTGATTTTGTTTTATAATGATGGTGGTGATGATGACGATATTTCCAGATGTGCATGGCATGCTTCTCCTTCGGCCAAATAGCAGCAGACATCTGCGGGAAGCCAGAGGAAGGGATAAGAAAGAGTGGAGGAAAGGGAGAGAGAGAGAGAGACGACAGAGGCAAGAGTGGGAGGATGAACACTAAGGCTGTTTTCAACCTTGATAATAATTAGAAATGTTTCTTGAGCAGAAAATCACCTTATTAGAATGGTTTCTGAAGGATCATGTGACACTGAGAACTGGATTAATGACTGCTGAAAATGCAGCTTTGCCATTTTAGGAATAAATTACGTTTTAAAATATATTCAAATAGAAAACAGTTATTTTAAATTATAATAATATTTCACAGTATTACTCTTTTTACTGTGTTTTTGATCAAATTCAATTCAATTCAATTCAAGTTTATTTGTACAGCGCTTTTCACGATACAAATCGTTGCAAAGCAACTTTACAGCAAATTAAGTTTCTACAATATTTAGTGGTAGCTTATCAGTGGTGACTGTCAGTCAATGTACATATGGCAGAAATGTACGGAAAAATCAATTATAATATTGAGAAGCGGTTCTTCTGCTACAGGTAACAACTCTTTCAGTAATTTAGTGGGTACAGGATCTAACAGGCATGTTGTTGGTTTAGATGCAGTGATATGTTTATTTAGCTCTTCCTGTCCTATAGTTGTAAAGCACTGCAGTTTATCTTTTGGTGTGATGAATGAAGCTGAAGTATTATACGCTGTAGAATCTACATTTGTTATTGTATTTCTGATGTTATCTATTTTATCAGTGAAGAAATTCATAAAGTCATTACTATTAATCTGTGAGGGAATATTTAGATCGGGTGGCGTCTGGTTATTTGTTAGTCTAGCCACTGTGCTAAATAAAAACCTTGGATTGTTTTGGTTATTTTCTATGATTTTGTCGATATGCTTGGCCCTGGCAGCTTTTAGAGCCTGTCTATAGCTGGACATACTGTTTTTCCACGCAATTCTAAAAACTTCCAAGTTAGTTTTTCTCCATTTGCGCTCAAGACTATGCAGCTTATAATGAGCATGAGAGACTTCTTTCAAAAACATCCCAAATCCCAAACTTTTGAATGGTGGTGTGTATATATTATTTTTCATGATCATAATATTTATTTTTAGAAATTTAATAACTCAGTGACTCTTCAATAAGTTTTATTTCATAGTAAGCAAAATGATCAATGTTCATGCAGGTCATACATATTAGTAAACAAGTTGTGCAATTAGCAAACTGCATTAAAGACTATGAAAACCTGTTTTCCACATCAAGTAAATGCTCACATTGCCCATCCTCTCTCTGTGTGGTGGGGAAAAAATGTTTTTGTGGCCATTTCTCTGGTTAGAACTGCAGGAGTTTTCCCACCTGCCAGCAGGAAACTCCTAAAACAAGGGAGGGATTCATCAGCAACGACTTTGAATTGACAGTTTCACTGTGTCCATCAGCCCTTTAAAGCTGGCAGTGCATTTTTTGCTGTCACCTTTTTGAAGAACTTAAAGGGATAGTTTTACACAATAATAAAAAATGTCTTCATTTACTCATCCTTAAGTTGGTAAAGTTTTTTTTTTTTAATACTATGGAACTTAATGGGGGACCAGCAACTGTTTGGTTACCCATATTCTTCTAAAATATATTATTTGTGTTGTGCAGAAGAAGAAAAAATTCATACTGGTTTGAAACAACTTGAGTTCATGCAGGTTTGGAAAAACTAACCTTTTAGTGGCCTGCATATTCCTTCCAGAGGGTAGCAGATGTGCTTGTCTTATGAGGGCAAAACAGTTAATTCTAACTGAGAGCTTGTGTTTAATAAATATGAGATCCTCTGGTGTGGCTGCCAGCAGCTTAATGGGCAAACCGGTTCATGAAGAAGGAACTTGGGCTGCTGTCCTACAGGAGTGAGAGCGTTTTTGTCTTCCTTTATGTCTCTTCCTCTGGTGGGGGAAACTCTTTAAGCCATAAAGTTATGTGTGATCTTGATGTATACAGAAAGTTCTGACATGTCTGCATTAATACCAAGACTTAAAACCCACTGCAAACATAATCTCATTGCTCTTTAAGAGCTCTAGGCTAATGTTACCCGACTGCCACTTAAACTAAATCAATCGACCACTGAGAATTTAAAACAGACTCTCTTAGCTGATGACATTAAGACATGGGGCATGAGCTCTAATATTACATACAGTTGTTTTATGTCTGTGCAGTTCATTCTAGTAAGTATGGTTCAAAAGATATTTTATGTTCCTTATGATGCTGTTCTTCCATTTGGTTTTGTCAACTGCATTCCTCTTTTTCCTTCTGTTCACAGATGGTCCATTTACAGGCACTCCGCCCACCTACGGTTATGACGCGGACCGAGCAGAGGAGCAGCGCCGACACCATGACATTCTGCCCTACATCGACGACTCCCCCTCCTCCTCCCCTCACCTCAGCTCCAAGAGCCGCAGCAGTCGAGACACCCTCTCCTCCGGCTCGATCGAGTCCTCCAAGTCTGTAAGTCACCTCGTAGCCAGTCAGACAGTGACTACGTTTACATGGACATCAGTAATCTAATTATTTAGCCAATATTATGATTATGGTGTTTACATGAGTTGCTTTTAGAATATTCCTTTCATGTTCCCGTTTTACATGTTATAGTACATAGTTCGATTAATGGCACACGTCATTACGTCCCCACGTGACGCCATCCGACGTCCCCTCCGTAATTTCACGTATAAGCATATAGTTCCTCTTCGTGATGATGCCATGTACAGTTTTGGGTGTTTCATTTTTAATTTTATGAAAGCTTCAAATGCAGTTAATTATTTGAACGTGCATACAGGCGATGGCGGTGTTGAAGCTCTTTTATTTGCCATCAAACGGTTGACCACTGCCGTGTGTGTATCCTGTTGCAAAATGCGGCGAAAAATCCTACACGACAGTAATAATTTGATTAAGGTGTGTACTTGTCTATACTGCACTTCAGTAATGTGACTAAAATAGGAATACTCCACATGTCTTAATTAGAGTTTTACTTTTACTTCGAATATGACTTTAGCCGGATTAAGGTAATCAAAAATCTCTGTTTACATGGTAGATTCTTAATCAGAGTATTGTCTTAATCGTGTTAAAATCGGATTATTGTTGTCCATGTAAACGTACTCACTGACAAATCTGACAGTTTGATTTTTTGACCTTTGAATAATTCAGTTTATTTTACAAATACAAAATAATTGACCATACAAAATATACAAATATTTGACTGCGGAATACCACAAATGAGGAGTCAGACTCATCAGTTACCCATGTAAAGGTAGTAGCTAATTATTTTTTAGGGAATAGAGAGATGAAGGCTTTCTTGGTGGAATGCGAAAGTAAAGAGTGCACATTAGAGCTTTCTTTATGCATGTGTAACACCCGTTTGCACCAATAAGAATTTTGAGTTATTATTTGTGTTGTTGTTTTTCCTAATTTTTCGTAAGTGCAACTACGGATGTTATTTGGACCAGTTAGGTTCGACTATGGAGCCTGTAAATGGATCCATGATAGAAATTCACCAAGTATATGCCATCTGTGAAGCAGTCCATTATGAATAATTGTACCAGTAAACCCACATATATTTATAGCCTGTGGTAATAGTACACAACAAATCCAAGGGGGTGTGAAATTTGACAGATTTCAAAGCATGCAGATTCTGAAGTGCTGAGTCTGCATAGTACAATTCTAATTGAACATTTAGTGCTTATCACAACTTAGTAAATATTATATAGCTCGGCACTGTGCAGAAGAATCTCACGTCATTCATTGCATGCAGTCATGTGTAATCTAAAGAAATTCTTTCTAGTTTCTGTTGTTATCAACTGTGGTTTAAAATGATCATGGCTTTCATTTCAGAGCCTCAGGAAACTGTCTTCATCATACATAGTGGCCATGCCATCAAATTAAATTACGGATTGTAAAACCGAAGCTTTCTTGCTTCATTGACACAGCCATTGGCTGTCAAATTGATTGATGTCCCTCCCTGCCAATACCAGACTCAGAGGCATGCAGTTTATTTGGGCCATTATGACCTCCGTGTTTAGCCCCCACATGGATTTTAATCAATACCGACTCACCTGCACACACTCACACACCCTTGCCCAGTAACACCTAGATGCTTTACGTGTTTACCCAACATGCACAAAGCCAGGGATTTGAAATATGGACGGATTCAAAAAGGGATTTGCTATGTAAATGTCTTGAATTGAGCTGCAAATAAACCTGCAATTGACACTACAGAGGGATGGTCACCCATTTTTCGGACACATTTCCTTACCTTGTTTCCCCTCAAACATAGAATAAGATTAGATTTTAATGAGTGAGAATTTCATGTTTAAGAATAGTCTTGTCATGCTGTCACAAAGAGCGGTTTTAAATTGCCACTCTGTTTAAATTGTTAAACCAAAAAAAGTCTTATGTGCTTTATTGAAACTCCAAAAGATTGAATTTTGACTTTTCTATGAGCAAATTATTGTGTTCAAGAAATCTCTTTAACTTTATGTTAGAACTTTTACCTTTTCTTCATAATGTAACATATCTGTTTTTAGTAGGTCGCATTTCAAAGTACAATATTATATAACACAAATAATGCTCCAAAAGTGGAGCAAATTCCTTTAGCTTCCAGATAGAAAAATCTATATGGGAAAAGTTCATGTGAAATTCTTTTAAACATTTAAACAAGTTCCTTACACGTTATAATAACTCTATTATTATATACCATAAATGTCATCTAATTACATGTGGTTAATTATTATTTTTAATAGTATGTAGATAAATTATTTTTTAATCAGTTATCTACATATTCCTAGCTCTTATTAGCATACTGTTCTGTGTATGTTCTTTAAACATGTTTGCTTTTTTGCTTCTTTCATTTGTAATCTATTGCCTGTTGTGTATATAATGAGAAATACTTTCTCATCCTTGCATTTTCAATAAGCGAGGGTTATTCTTTGAGCATCTGAGATGAGCTCAACTCATTCTCATGCGCTGGAATTCTGACATGCTTTGATTAATAAATATGTGGATGAATAAAAGATGGTGGTCTAGAGATACTAGAGTGCCCCCTGGGGTGAGACGTCTAGCACCTAAGAGTTCATGAATAAAACCTTGATTTCCACCTTCCCCCTGCTGAAGCTTTCAGTGGCGGGATTTACTCTGTCACAAGGTGGGGTTTTACATTTAATATCAGTTGGTGAGATTAGAAGAAATGTATGCCGTGAAAGCATTTTAGCATCACCTCAGTTTAAAAACTCAATTCAAGCCAGTATGGTCTACAACGATAACACATTCATGAAGCAGATGGATGTTTTATCCTAAAATCTGGACTAGAAAGTCTCATGAGACTATCACAAACATCTGTGGTTTCCACTACCTGTGCTGTGGCCATGGAAACCAACATTTCAGGCCCATTTAGCCATCATCATCGCTCAGTAATCCTACACACGACACAAAATAGATATGCCTTGCTTTTGGATGGATTCTAGGTCTGTAATATCTCTGATACATTACTCAGGGCTTGGTGAATAGTGTAGACTACATAAAGGCCTTATTCAGTTCAAAGGTGTTATGAATTTCTCATGACTCCTGTAGCCAAGACAGTTATTATAAGACCATGGAGCAGCTCCATTGAACCAGTAGCAAATCGCTTTTTTATAGCTCTTTCCAGCATTGCCAGTATGTAATTTAATGTCATGTGATTTAAGAGTGTGCTGTTCAGAAGTGTGTGAGCTCTTTCTATGTTCACGCAGACGGAGTTGGACCTGGAGAAGGGATTGGAGATGAGGAAAAGGGTGTTGTCTGGAATCCTGGCCAGTGAAGAGACCTACCTCAGCCATCTGGAGGCGCTGTTACTGGTAAAAGTGCTTCAAGTTTGATTTTGCTAACAGTGCATTATAAAATTTGTACAAGGAGTCTTATAAGTGAGATATGCGGGTCAGCTGAGTGATTATACCACTGATCTTAAAATTAGATGATCTTACCCATCATCTCCAACAGGAATGTCATACATTTAAATGCATATAAATATATGTTTGTGATTATGTACATTAGCAGGGTAAATAGCTTAGTGTATGGAGTCCGAGGAAGGTCATGAATATATTCGCTTTCATATTCTGTATTTTTTATAAAATCAATACGGTCTTGGAAAGCATAAGAGACTTCTTTCAAAAACATTTTAAAAATCGTACCAACCTGGCCTCAAACTTTTGAATAGTAGTGTGTAGTTGATCAGATTGTCAAAAACTTCTCATTAAAATGTGTTTGCATGTTCAAATGTCTGTTCCTGCTCCTTTGTAAGCCCATCAAGCCCCTGAAAGCAGCAGCCACCACCTCCCAGCCTGTTCTGACTGTTCAACAGATCGAAACCATCTTCTTTAAAGTGCCTGAGCTCTATGAGATCCACAAAGAATTCTATGATAGCCTTTTACCCAGAGTGCAGCAGTGGAGTCACCACCAACGTGTGGGAGACCTTTTCCAAAAACAAGTGAGTAAATTTCTGTTCACAGACCCCTTTTCAGGTTAAAAACAACATAAAATTGAAATAGACCCTATTTACTTATTGTCAGCAAAATGTAATAACTTGCTCAGGGTCTGACATAATCAAACTTTTTTTTTTTTAACTCCTTCCACCAAATTCCCAACTCCATTTTTAGTGCGCAACACCCACTTTCATAATCTTGATGGATAATGTCCTGTTTCACTCTGAAGTATTTTAAGTAAACAGCAATCAGCATTTAATGTTGACTTATA